GAATCGTACAAACACTTCTCTGATTCATCATCGATGGCCGCCAATTCTCAACATGCATGTCTGGTTTTTGCTTCTTCCACTGTTTACCGGCTTCATCGTTATCTTCCGGCAAGCTCCCGACGAACCCATAGTTGCATCTACTGAGGTGGGAGTGGGTGGAGGTGTGATGAAGAGGAAGGGTCGCGGCGAGTTGGAGGAAGGGGAAGAGTCTCGCATAGTTGGCGATGAATCGAGGAGATTTGTCAGTCAATCGATTCCGCTTTCCGGGCCCTCCATTTGGGATTGTTGGGTTTTTTACTGATAACAAGGCCTCACCAATCAATTTTGCTTCCCAGATAGCCGTCGAGCATGAATCGAGAAGAAGCAGGGGGCAGGAGGGTTGCCGCCATTGTTGTTTGTGGTGGTTAGTGTTCTTTTGATTGTTATTCAATTGATTGGGTTCTTTTGTAATACGGGATTGAGATTCAATTGATTCGTTGTGTTATTGTTTATTGCAGGAATGAAGAAGAAGATAGAAAGAGTGGAAATTGGAAGGTGGAGGCGCCGTTAGGGACGCGGTGCACGTCGGTGACGGGAGGGTCTCTAGTAGGGATGTCAATCCAACCCGTAATCATGGGTACCCTACCCGACCGTAACCGGTCAACGAGGGTATTACCCGCTTTGACGGGTTAAGGGACGGGTACGGGTAATACCCGGTTTCAAAATAAAGGGTAGGGTACAGGTATGGTAATCGATAATACCTGCCCTGTTATACCCGTCCCGCTAACCAAATGGTCAATTTCCCTAGCCCTAACCCTACCCAGCAGTCGATTTTCCTTGCCCACACACAACTCACAAGTGAGGTGCTTGCTCAGGCTCTTCTTGAAACTTTACTTGCTTGGGATATTGACATAAAGGTATCTACGATTACCTTGGATAATTGTTCTACTAATGATGCCTTGATGGATGTCATGAAGCATAAGTTAAGCAGTGAGCATTTGATGTGGTCTCGTTCTAATATTGTCTTTGTTGTTTTTGTTTATGTGTGGATTGTTGAAGCTAGAACAAATATGATGTATTGTGTTTTTGTTTGTGTGGATTGTAGAAGCAAGAACAATTATTATGTGTTTGCTGTTTTTATTTGTGTGGATTGTTGAAGCTAGAACAGTTACAAGTATTGAGAATTTTTAATGGACAACAGTATGTATGTGCATAAGTTCATATTTTAGGATTCGTACCCATGGTTACCCGAATACCTGTGGTTATCCGGTGGGTAAGGTATGGTTATATAATTTTCATACCCAGTGGTTATTTGGTCGGGTATTTTAGGAGGCTCTGCCCGGCGGGTTAGGAGTTGGTATAGGATAAACCCGCACCCGACTCTACTCATTGCCATCCCTAGTCTCCAGAGCAGCAAAGTTGATTTTTTATTTTTGTTATGTATTTATTTATAATTAAATATGATGTGTTATTTACGTGTCATTTTATGCTGATTTGTAGTCTGTAGATGATGCGTGCGCTGATTTGGTGTCCTACTCCTAGTCAGCATATCGGTAACAGAGCTGGCAGAGTCTCTAACACCGTTAAAGTTTCTAACGGAAATGGCTAGATTTGTCACACTGCCATTCAATTTGTGGGCTATTTTATGTTTTTCGATAGTTATGGCTATATTTGTCATAAACGTGAAAGTTATGGCTATGGAAGTGTATTTTGAATTTTTCGTTTTATGTTTATTTACCTTATAAAAATATTTTTTTAATACAAGTTTTATGGAAAAATAAATAAATATTGAAATTATTTTCATGTTAGATGCCACATCAGCGTTGACTAGATTTTCTGTTAATTACTAACGGTTAACACAGGTCAACACTAACATAATAATAGTTTGTGTCAGGATTATCATATTGAATGGTTTAGGACAGAAATGACATTTTTTGGATAGTTCGGGTTTTGTAGTGAAATTAGCCCTAATTCTTTTTATTTCAGGGGATATGCCTTCATTGGCATGCGCTCTCAGAATGGCCTCATGAGTCATGACATCTTTTAACAAACCACTTGTTGCACCTCCAGTAGCTCATCTCCATATTGCCAAAAATAGGCATTGCTCGAAGGCCCTTGTACACTCCATTTATACTTTCACCGTGGTTAGTAGTGGCGATCCCAAACCTAGTTCCAGCATCCATATGGAATGTTCACATGTGCATATCATGCGGCCCCCTTCCTGTGCATCTGCCGGATAGCCTTCATCTTCTCTTCATACTTTTTGTATTGGTCAACAATCGCTTCAAAATTATAAAACATAAATAATTTACTACAAGATAAAATCCAGGCACAAAAAACCAAGGAACACGAACTAAAAAAAAAAAATACATGCATGCCACAAATAATTCTTGACGATCTTTCTACTATATTTGTGCTGATAATTAGCTAGATAGTGGCGAATGCACCAATGCCACGTCCACCCCCACTTATTGGGAAATCGATACACGATGTATCTAATCCCAGCGTGTAGGTTGGAAATGATAGTGATGTCCTGTCACTGAGTGACGTGATCATGTAGCATCTTGAAAAACCAAGCCCAACTCATACTGTTCTTCCCCTCGACTAGAGCGAACGCCAATTGAAAATTTTGCATATTCCTGTCAACACCAGTGGCAATAAAAAGAGTGCCATTGTACTTTCCAGAAAGGAAGGTATCATCTACTTGGATCACAAGAATGCAAAAAAAGAACCCATCAATGCATGGCTTGAAGGACCAAAATAAGCAGTGAAACATCAGCTCATTTTGAACCCGAACTTGGTCCTCAGTTTCGAAGTTGTTAAACCACGACATGAAGGCAATATTGGGATTGGACTCCTCCATCGAGGCCATCAATCTAGGAATGAGAGTGTATGAGTCGTCGCAATCACCATACACGTCAGCTATGGCCTTTTGCTTTTCAGGCCATGCCTTCTTGTACTTGATTGTGTAGGAATGACGATCTTTCACCTCATCCATGATAGCTTTGATGGTAATGTCTGGTTGTGCCTCGATCAGGTGCTTACTAGTGACACACACTTTCTTTCCATTCAGCTAATGATGGTCATGGGAAAGTATGGATGAGGAGTAAGTGTAGTTGTTCTGTATTGTGCAAACTACGCAAGCAAACTTTTTCTCCATCCATGCAGCTCAAAGCTCCCACTGACATCAGTCTCCAGCATTCTTGTATATGACATGGAGTTATTTTTTGTCAGAATATTTGACCTTCCACTTAAAATTCTCCCGCATGGCTTCTTCTCCGAAAGCATCACCAACAACATCCTTGGTGAGAAATGTCATTCCCACTTCCAAATTGACTATCGAATTCCACACAGGCATGGGGACCAAGTCGGGATCTTCGTTATGATCATATAAGGGATGAGTAGGGATCTTTATGTAGTATGAAGTAAGTAGCTCTCGGATCCCAACCTCATTGTCCATATCCTCTTCCTCACTCACGAATCCCAAATCTTCTTCGCTATCCTTGTCACTTTCGAAAGGATAACTCGACATCCTGTAAGTGCAATCCTCGCGTTAATCACCGCCAACATCATCATCTCGACTTTGTGCATATCGCATGGATGAGCGAACGGTATTTTCAATGCTAGACCATTTTGGACCCCAAGTCAACCATTAAACGCCATCTGAATCAACAAATGGGGCGGGTTCAACATGTTGCAGGGCAAAATCGCCCCACGGTCTCCCATCTCTCACATCGCTGCTTGCATAACTACATCCTTCATAGTTATTTGAATAACCACCTTATTCGTGCCCTCCTGCAAAATTGTGCCACTTAGGAATTTGGCTAAAAATTATTGTATTTGAGAATTTTTTGTAAGAACTAGTGTATTTAGGGAAAAAATCTCACCGTAATAATGGCGCTGATAAGAGGATTCACTACCATCATATCCATAACTGGCTCCACTATGACCGATATCCTCGGTCTCAACATACCCCGCACCACTTCTGATTGATTTTGTTTTCAGCTAGGAAGTCCACCATCATGTTAACCCCATCATCGCGGATATGGCAACTCTTTCGTACGTTACACCACCTCCACTGATGTTTGGATATCATTATGTAATTTTAAAAACTCTTGTCTGCTCCACGTACAAACCCTTTATGCACAAATGTCATAGAGTTCTTGCAACGTGAATCTGAACTTACCGGATTCACCATCTTCATAACCGATCCTTCTTTGAGTGTTTGTTATCCGAATATTTAGCATAAGTAACACGCATAATTAGTGAAGTACAAACATACAACTACTTAAACATGACCATACTAAACAAATTCATAAATATCTTTTAGTTAGAATGAGCGAATGGAATTCTGGTGTGGTCGTGAGATTTTCTGCAAGTGTGGTGAAGAAGAGAAGAGTTTCTGCTACGAAGGTGGAGAAGAGGGGAAATGAGAGCGAGTTAGGATGTAATGGTCGTTTTTTATATTGAATTCAGATGAAGTTCATATCTCTTTAGTCAAAAGCGATCAGTTCTAGATCGCTTCCCTCAAAAGCTATCAATGCTAGTTAGTTGCACCTAACTCTAACTCGTGCCTAATATTGATCGCATTTAACTATGGTGATTTAGTAAGATTGCTGCCAACAGAAGCGGTCAATGGAAAACCGTTGCACCAACCCTAGCCTCGTGCAAAAAAAAAAAAATGCACCAACCCTAATCTCGTGTTCAAATGAAATCGCGGTTGAGGAGAGTTATTTACCTTGATTGCTTTTCTTTAAAACAATTTTATATATTGCTAGCGGCGGCGGCAATTAAACATTTGATCGCATTTGAGAGTCACGATTTAAATGTCATTAATTTTCAGTAACACAATCATATGTTGATCGCTTTTCTCACAAGCGACGTAGACAATAATCGTGAAAACAAAGCCTTTTTGTTTTTGGGATTTTTCCTAAGAACTATATTGTATTTGAGGAAAAAATCATGAAAACAAAGCCTTTTTTGGAAAGAGACAATTTTAAACATTTGGCATTTGGGTAACGCACGCAAAAGAAAGAGGGAAACCAAAAACACGAAAAAATTCAAAATGAATGCCTATCTCTGACATCCGCGAACTGCAGTCGCCAGCCTCAGTCTCTCGCCATCTCTCATCGGCAACTAATCTAGATCTCTTCTCCTCCATAATCAGAAAAATGAAGAGGGCCAACCGTCGAACCAAGCGCACTGGCGTCACCGACTCTCCATCACCATCTAAGTGCAGCGACAGCGATAAGCAGCCGCCGCCCCCGCCGCCGCAGCAGCAGAATCACGAGAGAAGAATCCACGATTTGGAGAAGGAGAATGATGCTTTAAAGGTGAGTTTATCGTTACCGGTGCTAATTGCGAACAATGGTTTCTCTTTCTTTGCTCGAAGTTTGTATTCGATTGTGAAACGCGATGCGTAATTGTGAATTTCGATTTCGAATGTGGAAATGGTTTGTAGTAGTGGAGTTTAGGGCATCCGTTTAAAGCTTTTCTCGCTTGCTCTACCGATTTAAATTTGTTTGGATGCATAGAAGAACTCGGGAAATCTGAATGATGCTTGTTGGTGAGAAATCGTGGTTTTTATTAATCATTGCTATAGTTATACTGAAATGAACCGATGTCTATTTTGATTGGTAGAGGGAGGTTGAGGAATTGAGGCTCAAACTGGGAAACCATTCCCCTGCTTCAGATGGCAAGATTCAGAAGCTTTATGAAGGTGCGCTAGAAAAGCTGCGGATTCTTGATGAACAGGTTGAAATTTCATCCACAGCTACCATATCTGAAGTTGCGGTCTGTTGCACAGCTATACATGTTGTTCTTTTCTTTTCAGGCCATGGATTTGAAGAAGAAGCTCAATGCACAATCTCAGTTTTCAACTCAAAAGCAAAAGACCGCAGGGAGACAGCCTGACGATGTTATCCAGAGATTGAAGGCTCAAAAGGTAGAAAGATGCAACACTGGCTTTGTTTAGCAACAACCCGTCTTAACATAACGCGAATTATCTGTTTCTGCGGGTGTCTGTTTACTCTCTTGAAGGTCCAACTTCTGTGCAAGATCAAGCTGGATTCTGTGCAGTTCAGGCTGTCAAAAGCTTCACTAGAGAAAGAGGTTCTCCAGGTATGTACCTGTTCTTTATTACTTGTTGACATTTTGGATATCCACGTATTTTCGGATATCTACATATATGAGGCTTGCTAAGTCCTTTCCTTGATTTCAAAGTTTTGATATGAGATTTATTCCCAATCTTTTGATATCCCTAACTTTGAGGTACTGGCATATCATGAACTGGTTGTTTGTGTCGTGTTGTGTTTTGGTAGAAAACTGTGAGCAAGGATAGGCTTGAATGATATGTGCTTTTTCGTAATCTTTATGTAACATACATTATCGAGAATTGGCGAAGTTCAAAAACTATCTTCTTATTTGTAAAGTTTTTCATCTCGGCAGCTTAAGAAAGACCAGAGGAAGAATGAATATGAGATACGCAAGCTATTGGCTCTAACCAGCAGGCAGAAACTGGCAAGTTATTCTTCTTGGGAAATTTTAGATTCTTATGCGCTTATTCATGTCTCTGACATTTTCGTGATTTTTTTTATGCTACTGGTCTGAATTCAGGTACTACAAAGGAAACAAGAGGAAGCTTCTGCAGCTACAAGGAAACTTAATGAGTTCTTAGAATCTAGGAAAGCTTCATCTCAAAGTAGTTCAGGTCTGCAGATCATTACTCAACCAACTTCCATGCATTGTTTTCATTATTTCTTCGTATCTAATTTCTGCTTCTTTGGAAACTTCACACAGGTTTGCAGAAAGATGGGAGTCCTGGAAGTCAGGTATGATTCTCAAATTTAGATGAGTATATTGCTATTTTATGTACAGAACTAATATCAAAGTCAAATGCTACTTGCAGTAGTAAATTAGAGATCAGCATCGTGGGTTCATGATGCAAGTCTAGTTATGAATTTATATTTCTACTGCTATCTTTTCAGTTCTAGATGATGAATTGTTTAGCTCAAGTGGTCTACGAGTTTTGCTAAACTTGGGACTATAAATTGTGGAAACGTTCCTTCAAAGTATAGTAAGTTAGTAAATTTGTAAAACGATTTCCAAGTAAGAGCTAATACAGCAATAAGTGGTAGAACAGGCTTTCATTTTTTTGGACTTGAGTCATAAACGCCTGCAAGATTTAGCATCCGAATCGTGTCATGGTTCATATCAAAGATGAGTTAATTGGGAGATTTTGGGATTAACCAAGGGGTATTCTACATATTTAATGTATAAAAATATAGTTGCTCACAGAGGGTCAAGGGATACATCTTCTGCATTCAAAGGATTGCTCACCTTAGCATACATCCTTCTTTTGACGTGATAACACTTATGCAGGCCTTTGAGATTGAGCTGAAAGTTGCGGAAAGGGTAGACGACATACGTTCCGACTTTGAGCGTCAAATGGAAGAGTAAGTCCTTATAGCTTTACGAAGGCCAAGATTCCTGGAGTCACGAATAAAAGGATGGCCAAGATACTTGGAAACCTTGATTTGGTGCTGAGTTTATCATTCCATTGGCTGAGCATGGACATAAAATGGGTTAATTTGTCTATTCTTCATTGCACTCTGGAATTGCTTTAGGCATCGAGTGAAAAAGTGATGCAGCCAAGAGAAGACATGAACCTTGGTTTCATATGCAATGATAGTTTTAGTAATTTCAGAAATATTCTATCTACGTTAACGTGCCTGAACTGTCCATCTTGCATTATTTCTAAATATGTTTCTGGTTTTCAACTAATTGAAAATTAATATACTGTTCTAGGATGACAGAAGAAGTAAAGAAATACGAGGAAGAAGCTGAGATGCTAAGGCAAGAGAATTTCAGGTGGGGCTTGAGGGAAATAAACCACGAGTTCAGGTGTTTGCACCATTCAAACAACTTGCTAGTTGTACGGTTTACTGAACTGGTACTTGGTGCATTTTCCTTAGGTTCATGTTGCAGGATAAAGAAAACGACTGCATTGCCAGAGATTCAGAACTGAGAGACTTAAAAGAAGAAGTGTTCAAACTAAGTACCATGGTGAACCAGATGCAGTTAGTAAGGGCACGGGCAGTTCACTTGACAAAACCACAGGTAGGCTTAACTCTGCTGAATACTACTGAGAGCAACACTGTATTATCGACCCCTCTTATGAACACAATTTTACGATCATATTCAACTGTGTGGCTATGAATGGTCAGGATGCGAGTCGTTCTGTGTTGTTTGAGATGCCAACAGTGGATTCAGAAACTTCTGATAATGTCCCCGCCATGGTCAAATCCGCACAAGGAGAATGCTGCTCTTGCAGTAAAAACTCACTGTGCAAGACAAACAAGTGCCAATGCCGAGCTGCTAAGGGAAGCTGTGGCCAACGGTGTCGTTGTTCAACTGCAAAGTGCACAAATGGGAAGGGTTTGGCCAAGAAAGATAGCTCACTGCTATCAGTCATAGCTCAGGACTTGGTCCATTCTTCAGGCAGCGAGACTACGTCGGATGCTACATCTCCCAATCAAGCAACAAAAAGACAACCCTTTTCTGAAATCGGAAATGTTGAGGTACTCCTTTTAGCCTTTCGCTATTCTACTTCTCTTGTCTTCTCTTTCGTGAAAGAGTAAGGTTCAACGCTGTTCCATGTTCAAAGACAGATAGGAACACGATACTTATTCTTGTCAAGCAACTACCATTAGCGCATTATGTACCAATCTTTCAGGAAAATCATCTTCATCATACCATCTGTCCTTCATTTAGGCAACTCAAACCATACTTTTCACATCAGCAAACCATTTCTTTATGCAATTTATCCTAGATTCATGCTACTAAAAGTCCATGTTCTTCTATGTTTCCATAAAACGTTTCCTTAGAGAAACAGCATTTGGTGACTAAGGGTTTCTCTGTGTTTAGGGTACTTCCAAGTCAGAAGAGGAAACCAAGATCCAGAAGCCATCCACACATCTTGAAGTGGAGCAGTCGACAGATAACCAGGAAGGCCTGAAACCAATAGCGGAGAAAACTGCTGCTGCTCCGCCGGATATATTTAAGAAGTTGACAAGGGCCATGCGGTCTGCGGTGGTCGGGAAGTAAAGATCGTCGAACACAAAATTCTGACTGAGTGCTTAACACAAAAATTGATTTTTGAGGCTGCTTGCTTCAGACCATATTCATAAACTGTTGTGAGAGAGAACCCAGCCAAATGCAGTTGGGCCACGAGAAAACATAACAGGAATCTATTACAGCGTTGTAGTCTTGTAGATTCGTGTGTATTGTTTCAGCCTTTGAGAGTTGAGTGAGGATGAGGTTGTGAGGTGATGACTGATGAATCAAGTTAGTGTGTTTGCCTTGCCTGTGGATACTGGATAGTGAAATTTTTTAATGATTTCACAGTTGGTTCTCCATCTTGAAATCGATTCTTTGTTAAGACTTTGTCTAAACACACACCATTACACAAAGTTTGTTCTATTGATTGAATTAGGCAGTGGATATAAGAAGAGTAAATGACATATTTGGTCACTGAGATTATTAAATTATATCATGTTTGGTCACTAGAAAAAATTACGGAGTTGGACAGAGGCTAACGGAGAGTGACTAAATGTGACGTGTTTCAGTAATAAAAAAAGTAATTCGAGTGGCCTGAGTTGGACAGAGGCTAACGGGGGAGTGACTAAATGTGACCTGTTTTAGTAAATCGAGTGACCAAAATTGATATGAATTTTTTCTAATGACTAAACCTAACACGATTTAGGAATTCCAGTGACAAAATGTGACATTTACCCTGATATAAGAATATAGGTTTATCAAGAATATGCTGCCTTTCTCAACTTTTGATATATAGGAAATAGCTCAACCAAAGTTTCTCAAATTTCAAAACTTAACCTTTATGAGTAACTAGGCTGAAACCCTTGATTGGTATGGGATGTTCAATTTTTGTTTTAATAAGTTTAATGTTTTAAATAAGAAGTAATATGTTCAATTTCCACATAATACAATTTTCGAATCTTGTGAATAAAAGAATGAAACAATAGAATCTAAGGTTGGTTCAAGACAAAATGCATTCAGTCACATGTAGAATTATGTTGAAACTATTAAGTCAATCTTCCATTCAAACAATACAATATACATCTAAGCTACAACTGTAAATTGGACTCCATGGACAATGAGACCTCATGCCAAAATTGAACTCTACGCAAAAAAAAAAAAAAAAAAAAAAAAGAGAAAAAAGAATAGGAAACTCCCAAAGATTGTCCATTGATAAGATTATAAAACGGAAATGCATTCTCAGAATGTGCATGATCGAAATACGTGTAATCAGTCAATCTTGAGTTGAATAGGCGGAAACTCACAAAGATTGTTAATCTATAAGAATTCAAAAATTGATAAGATTCTAAAACATAAATGCATCGTAGGAATATGTGTGATTAGTCGACATTGAGTTCAATAGTCAGACATCGCCATAAAACACTTAATCGGAATACGTGTGGTCGATAGGCTTTTGTGAATTCCTTGATCTCCTCTAAATTGTCAAAACATTAGTCAACAATTAAAGAGGTGGTGGGGAAATTGTCACTAAACCAGAGAGATGGAGTTTTCTAAGACCAAATGGAATTGCCACTAAAGTTCATGGTTATTACAAAAACCCCACTTAGTGAATAGTAAACCCTGATCAAGGCTTTTATATACTATCTAGGCTGAAAGCTGGTGCTCCACACGGGTATTCGATTCTTATTTTATTAAAATTTGTATTTTTGTAAAAACGAAGTAATATACTAAACAAAAATAAAAATAAAAACTCACACAATAAAATTTTCTATTGTGTGAATGATAAATGAAACAATATAACCTAATATCGATTCAACGAAGTGTATGTTCAACCACATATAACACATTATTGAAAGTATTTGTTCAAACTTCCATTAAAATACTAAACTTCTAAGCTACGAGTCTATGAGAATAAATTGGATATAGTGGCCAATTAGGCTTCATTGTAACACCCTATCTAAACACTCGCTTTTACATTAAATACATAAAACTTATAAAAGGTTTTCGGGCCCGATTTAAAAACTTTGCAAATCAAAGTACAAAAAGTTAAACAGTTTGACAATAGATTCCATGTGGAAACATGTTCAGCCTTCCGCCCACCTCATGAATCAAAACTTGAAGGTTGAAGCCAATGATTCTACTTCTACCACTTCTTGCAGCTGCTCTTGATCCGGGGAAAAATATTTGACGAAGGGTGAGTCGTCACTTAGTGAGTAAATTCTAAAATTAAATAAACAACGATACACACACGGTATTTAGCATGGTACCATCTAATTACAGGTCATTTACTCACTCCTGATGCTTATCATTCCATTTATAACAATTCAATATCCAATATTATAATTTCAATCATCAATAGAAGAACTATCTCTTTAACCATTCAGTAGCAATCACTTCACTATTCACTTATCGCGGTGCAATGGTACCTGATGTCACTATTCGGATATCGCTACTTTGCACACCTCTAATGGCAGGCAATCACGTACGGGTGCTAGGGCACCATTTACTCATACACATATACTCATCAAAATTCTCATCACATGAACCATAACACGATGCTAAGCATCATCAGCTCACTCATCTTCATTCATGCCAGTAAACAATTCAACATATCATTCACATTACCATGATCAATCATGCACACATACACAACGTATTAACCTTGCTAAGGCATTTCATACATGCACCCATGCCTAATCCAGTAATCAATCACACATTCACACCAGTACACTTATCGATACACACAATGGAGTTAGCCAGATTAAGTGTCTTTTAACCTTTAATTTGCCAGTCATGCACTCCCCAGGGTAGATCTAGTAGATGCACGAGGCATCGTCAGTACAGTAACAGTAGATGCACGAGGCATTGCCAATATAGTAACAGTAGATGCATGAAGCATCGCCATTAGATGCACGAGGCATCATCGGTACACCATGCCTGCTATCGCTCTCTCATGGAGCTAGGCATAAAGCCGCAATATTAGATCTCATAGAGTGCATGAGAGGACTCCCTTAAGTTTGATTTAGGTGATCAAACAATTCTTTAGTTAGTCAATTCACAAGTATCAAGCAGTATCATCAATAATTTAACACAAATCTTTCACGTAATCGTAGCATTCATATAGTCATTTCATATAAACACATCATCGCCTTATAGGCTTGCCAGTATCACATTTCTGCCTTACAGGCTTTTGAGTGTCACATGATAGCCAATTAGGTTATCTCAGTATCATCACATTTCCGCCTTACATGCTTTTCAGTATCACAGTATCACCAATTAGGCTCTTTCAGTATCATCATATAGCCATTCAGACTATACATCATCCCCTCAACGCCTCGTAGGCTTTCCATTACAGTAACATCGCCTTTTAAGACATTTCATATCGCATACACATTGCAATTCTCAATCACAACCATCATTTATCACATTTTATACATATTATCATATAGTCATACATAAATCATTTTTACTCATCATTCATCACATATCATTTCATTATATCAATATCCTTATGCCCATAGGCGTTATTACTTTATCATGTTATTGTCTTTAAGCCCTTAGGCTTCACCTTTTTACCACATCAATATCATATTTAACTTTAAGCCCTTAGGCTTCACCATTTTACTACATCAATATCATATTTAACATAACCAATCAATCACTTAGATCATTCTAGTGGCCACTCACATTCATCATACAATCATAAACACATTTAATATATAATTATCATATCGTACGGTTCAACTAATAATCACTCACATCCACATTCGCTTAGTCGATGTCCATGCTTCATATCTGGGGCGCTTCATGACCCGAGTACCTCTATATCTATGATATGTATTAGGGTTGCTTCATGACCCAAATACCACCTTTGTATTGATATAGATTTAGGGTTAGAATCTACTCACCCTTTCCAGTCGTTACTTGGCAATTCCCCTGCCATTTGAAGACTCCCCGGCTTGTTCTTTTCCTTATTACACAATTACCAAGCCATTAAGTGATATATTATATATAGGGAGTCTATATAATCATATTAGGGTTATAGTTCCTCAATGGTTCGACAAGAACACAAAATTTTGGCAAAAAATAGGATACACACAGCCTGGCCTGCCCCTGAGGTTGCAAGGCCGTGAGAACTCCTGGAAACTTCGCACGACCGTGCGGCAATTTGCACAGCCTGTGCAACTTACCCCCTTCCACAGTTTTGGCCATTTCTCCCTCAAATTTTTAATCAAATCGACTTATTATTTTTCCTACTTAAACTAGATCCATAGAACTACAACATATCCAAATTTCAGACCATTTTGACCGAAAATTTGAGCTCGGTACTCAATTCTAGTTGAAGATTCAAAACTGTTTTCTACTTCCTCTTTCACCACCACCCTTCCTTGATCCCATCCATTCCAAAACTCCACACCATGATTATTTGAGGATTTTACATGATAAATAAAGTCTAAATACACTCACACAACCCATTAAAACCATTTATTTCCATCTATACAACATCTAGTGGATCAAACCCGATTTTGTCAACTTCACCACTTTGAGTTCTATACACCTCCTACCTTCTTCCTTTGATAAATAACATGGTTACTCTATGTTGGGGATATAATTTATGGAGCTCTAGCTCCTTGTTCCTCATCAAATCGACAAATCCCCTTTTGTAATTCATGCTTCTCAGCTTGAGGAAGAAGAAAGGAAGAAGATTCTTACCTTTTGTTACTCCTTCTCTTGTTCTCTAGTCTCCAATCTTGCCCTTTGCTAACTTGGTTTTAGATTTTGCGGATGGAGGATAGTGTTGGTGGAGATGGTTGTGGGTTGGAGAGAAAGAAGAAAGGAGAAAAAATTAAGAGGAGATGGGAACAAATGGTGGGAGGGTGCAGATTTTTTGCACCCCTCCAATCTCTAGAACCCTCTCTTTCTCCCTCTCCCTCCAATCACACTCCCACAAATGGCACTAACATAAGTTGTTTGCCATTTGATCCTCCAACTCCCAATTTCTCCAATTAAGTCCTTCTTCCATGAGGACTTTAATACAAATTCACATAATTAATTTCAGTAATTACTAAAATTAATTTAACAACCCTTATACAGTTATACTACCATACTTCCTCACTTTTTTCAATTAAGGGACGATTTCTTTATCGGTTACTAATAATGTCATTATGATGGAAGCACGCACAAGAGGGTAGAGATGTTACATTCATATTCGAAAATAGGACTCTATGCAAAAACAAAATATCTATTTAAATAGTTGGAAAATTCACAAAAACCGACAATTGATAAGCATTAAAAAAATGGAAAATGGAATATTGAAACACACATGACTGAAATACAATAAGACCGGTTATGCCTTCAACGATAAGAACAGACTTTCTTTAGAGTTTTCAGAATTTTTTTAGAGTTTTCCTACTGCCAAGTCAAAGCTAAGACCGGTTATGCTCTCAACGATAAGAACTGACTTTCTTTTAGCTACCGGCCCAAACAAAAGAGATTTGCCTCCTGACCGAAGCGCCAACCTCCCTCTATAAGAATTCGAAAATGAAAACGCATTACTGCTAATGATCCGAATACGCGAGACCGGTCAACTTTTATCTGAATAGTCGGAAAATTTACAAAAAATATCAATAAATAAGAATCCGGAAATGTAAAATACATCACATGAATGTGGATCAAATACGAACAAGTATGTTAATTTGAGGATAAAAAAATTAAAAATTAAAGTAAAAAATAATGAAGAATATTATTAAATATTCTCATATGTGATTAAAAAAAAACGGAAAAGAGGAAATAAAGCAAAATATGTGTTTACTTGCAAAGGAAAGAAAAATTATAAATGAAATGAAAATTATGCTAATATGTGGCTTCTTAGGATAATACCCTTAAAGTTAGGATTATTTACAAAAGCCTCTTAATGAATAGTAAATCCTAATTATGATTTTTATATAACAACAAAAATGTTTTTAGTAGTTTTATATATTCTATAATTTCTTTTTTTTTTTCACTAAATAATATTTTATGTTGATTAAGATATTTATAGGGGTTTTTGGTCCTTAAATATTGTAGATATATGTCACCAACTTGATGCTTATTAGTCATTGGTTTACATCCCAAACTCAGGTTTTTTACCTGGACATTTAACTATTTGTCATGAATCATCAACCTTGGCTAGACCAATGCCTAGGTTTGGTGCATTTGAAAGGAACGAAACTGACATTTTGATGCACATTCTCCGTCATCTTTGTTTTTCTTGGGTGTTTTCTATGTAATTTTCTCATTAAGTTTTTTATTTGATTTTTTATTTGTAGGTTTTATCTTTGTAATCTCAACCCTTGTATTGATGATAAGTTATAGGGCTAATATTAGTGGGAAACCCGAACTATCAATAAAATGTGATTGGTGTCCCGATCTATTCAATATGATATTTATGTCCCAACCTATAGTAGTTGTGTGTCATTTATATTCTGACGATTGATCGTTATAGATAACGGTTGACCAGACGGCGGATAATTCGGGACACAAATGACACATTGTTGATAGTTCGGATTTTCTAGTGGTATTAGCTCTAAGTTATAAGAAAAACATTCTGGAAAATATAATCATTCATCCTTCAAAGTACCCTTCCAAAAAACTTAAGAGCTCCAATTTTAAAATGATAAATCTACAAGTTGTGCAGATGTAAGATAAATTCCAAACTTAATTTTAAACTACATGTAGATAAGCTAGATCACTTAACTCAAACTACATAGAATTCATGCTTCGGTCGGGAGACATTCCACCCCGCTTCTCTGCTGTGTATGGGAAGCTCCAAGCTGGCTTCTGAGAAATTATAGAAGCTCGAAAACCACTGCCAGCAACCATTCTCGACGCCCCTGTTAGGTAGCTGAAGAATCAGATCTACTCTACTTGGTACCGATTTCTAGTCTCGCCACCCAATACTCTAGTTGATCAGAAACGGGGGCAGAACCAGTAGACCCATATGAACTGAAGTTCTTGATTGCATTTTCCACTCCAAGATAGCCATATACATCATCGTCAATAACTGGGCTGATGCTTCTGAATTCGTCCAAGCTTAGGCCTTGAAGCTGACACCCTTTCGCTACACATAATGCGACTGACCGGCCAGCTACATCATGGGATGTTCTGAAGGGCACACCCTGCAGGGAACATTAAGCGGAAGTTGAGAAGGTGGAAGAATGTCATGCTACCGGTGTCCTACTGCTGTAAACTGGATCTGAGTTGACCAAGATTGGTCCCTTGCTAAGATCGGAAACCAGCATTACTTACCTTCTTCACAAGATAATCCGCAAGTGTTGTAGCATCAAGGTAGCCAGCTGGCAATGCCTTTTCGATTCTCTGTTTATTGAAGGTGATGTTCTGTGCAAATTCAGCTGAGACTTCAAGCATTCCTACAATTGTTTTGACACTGTCAAAAACAGGTTCCTTGTCTTCCTGTTTCAGGAGAGAGAAATGGGCACAGTCAGACTCTGCAGGTGTCTATATCGGGTAAGAGCTACATACTTTACAATAGTGTAAGGATATGCAAGGAATTCAAGGATGTGGAAGACAATCACAAATTAGAGCATCATGGACAAGTTACCTTAGCAGAAAACAATGTACAGCCTACTAATTCGAGTTCAGCATATGTATAGTAGCACCTACCTGCAAATCCCGGTTATAAGCAAGAGGAAGACCTTTGCACAGAGTTAGTAGGGTAACCAGGTCACCTACAACCCTAGCAGACTTTCCACGAACAAGTTCCATCGGATCTGGGTTTTTCTTCTGAGGCATTATGCTACTTCCTGTGGAAACAGAATCACTTGGGGTGATAAATCCAAACTCCTCGGAGGCCCACAGTACCCACTCTTCACCCAGACGAGAAAGATGGATGCCAATGATAGCATTAGCAGAAAGAAATTCCAAGACAAAATCTCGGTCTGAAACGGCATCAATACTGTGTCATGAAAATTGCAAGGAATCAGTCATTCAGGGCATACACATTAAGATATAAGGAAACAAACACATATATCAAGTAAAATGATCCAGTTTTGTACAACCTTGAGCCACTGAATGACCAAGAAATGAAAAATGTTCATGCATACCTGTTCCTCATGGGGGCAGTGAATCCCAAAGAATCAGAGGTCATAAACCTATCAATGGGCAAACCAGTTCCAGCCAATGCACAAGCACCCAAGGGAGAGAAATTCATCCTTGTTCTACAATCAAGCAACCTACCAGCATCACGGTCAAGCTACAAAACAAGATCAGAGACACAATTAAATGTCTTAGAAGAACAAACCAAATCCTCTATATAATCCTCCTGAGATGGAAAAGAAAGACTATCCAAGCTAAGTCCAGATTGTGGTGCAGCAGCTTAAATCAACATCTAGTGCAACATGCACGCAAGACATGGTTAAGGCCCCTCACAAGTCGAGTTATTGTAGAAATGAACCGTGTTAAACAATCTAAAGTACAACGCAACAATGCTGAGTATACCTGTTCAACAAATGCCAACAGGAGATGAGACAATAGAACTGGTTGTGCCCTTTGCAAATGTGTATAACCAGGAACGATAAGCCCCTCATTCTTGAGAGCCAGAGTCAACAAAGCAACCTGCAGATGTTTTACGGATGCCAGAATCCTATCAATTGCATCCCGACACCACAGTCTGAAATCAGTCAAAACTTGATCATTTCTGCTTCTAGCAGTGTGCAGCTTCTTTGCAGGCTCGCCAATCATATCAATAAGTGCTGCTTCAATGTTCATGTGCACGTCCTCCCGGTCTGTCCTCCACACAAATTCCCCAGCCTCAATTTTCTTCTGAATCTCATCAAGGCCTTTAACAATACTATCTCTATCACTTGCACTCATTAATCCCTACGAATAAAAACAGGAAAAAAGCACTTGGATTACGCGGAAATTCAAACATATGACACAAGTTAAAGAACTTGTCAACCGAAAAAACCCATTAGCTTAAGATAGCTTTAGCATCTTCCATATCACAAAGTTCAGAACTTCTCTCCCAGTTCTTTTCCAACCCCACTTATCCTAACACCAATTGAGTGCCAGAAGGCAATAGCTTCTAAACCAGCACCTTAGAGAAGCTAAAAGAAAGCTCTCTTCAGTTTCCCCAATAAACCACTACTTTCCCACAGTCATGCGAAGTTCCAAACACCAAGCAAAGATCACCAAACCAAAAAACAAAAAAATCCCCTAAACCAACCTGGGCAGCCAGCATTGAAGCGTGGGCCTTGCTCCCCATGATATCATGCTTATACAACTCCTTATCAAATGAAATCGATTCTGTGAACTTCTCAACAATGTCTGTGACACTCTCTTCGAATCTACCACCCCACAGCTTGGCTTCCTTGTTCGGGACCTGGCCATGGCTCTGTGCCCCGGGAGAAGCAGCCATGGCTTTAACGGAGCAAACACGCTGGGCGCCGATCTTCCACTTGCCGCAAACTGGAAAGGAAGAAATAATCGAACAATGGGGCTTGACGTGGTTGAAAGCAGAGGAGCCGGCGGTGGCGGAAGAGCTGTAAAGCAGAGAAGACGACGAGGTGAGCAGGTGGGATTCCATTGCCGAACCGGCCAGTAAGCAATCCGACGATACGAGGTTGAGATTTTAAAAGGGTTTTGCCCATTTGGGCCTCCAGGGCCCAAATATGGTATGGGTCCGGCTCGACAAGCGAAGCCCAACTTGAATATGGAGCAAAACAATATCCTTTCATCACTAATCCTTCAGTTCAGTCCTTGTCTCCTTGAGGCTAGGCTCTGTCTGGCATTAGGGATGCTACGATGGATTGCTTTCATCGTGGATTAACTTCAATAATCAATAACCTTTTGTGGAGACGCCCAGGTGGTAATTCAAAAGTGTGCTGATCGTAATGCTATTGATGTGATTGGAGGAGCTTTACTTCCATGAATTTCTTCCGCGTTCTCCGGTTACTTTTGTTATTCGTATTTGTAACCGGATATACTTGGTGGTCCGTCATGATTTGTTCACGTCACACCATTTGTGGAGGGGTTTGATTTCATTTCATGACTCCGTTGTCATACAACTTTGTAGGAGGCTGTTCTCTTTCGAATTCTAGATGTTTATGTTTCCTCAGCGTGAGGTATCTAATGATAAAAAAAAATTAACAACTTAACCAACGGTTGGATTGGGATGGGTTATGAAGGCAGTTTGAGAATTTTTAATTGTAAAAGTAAGTTTTCGATTATTATTACATTGGGGTAGAAGTTTATATAACCTAGGCCCTATGCATTAAGCAGCGGAAAATGTAACCTAGGCCCTAGGCAGATCATTAGGTGTTCAAACGCCTAGGCACCGCCTAACTTTGCCTAGTCGCCGCTTAGGAGGAGTTAGGAACGATTAATCGACGCTAGATGGTCTACCGACTAAAGATAAATAACAAATAAATGTATTAAAATGTTTCAAAATGACGTCATCCTTATGTTTGACTAATTCCTCCAACAACCCGTCCTTTACATGCCTCCTTCCTCTATTGGAATACAAAAAATTAGGGCAACAAAATTTAACGTATATGACTGTACTGCTTCTCATATCCTGCTTTGATCGACCCCACACTCTGTCCTACTATTCGTCACCGTTGACAGCTAAACAATCAAAACCATGTTGCCATGTGTACTTCTTTAATTCCTCTCCCTTAGTATCCAACTTCGTTAATCCTAAGCTTCTTTCTTACTCTTCACCATCTTTGTATGTAAATTTGCTATGATAGCTTAAAATGTCTAGGTGCTAGACAGGAGCTCAATTCCTACCTTGCAACTTCTTGAACCTTGAGTATCCATAACTATACCCTTCAAGTACTTGTTGTGTGATCTACCAAATCAGTCACTATTTTCTATGCCACTTTATGTGGGGATAGAGTGCTTGAAAGTTCTTTGTTGTTGAGACCAAATATCAAACAACTGTTAAATTTTTGACCTAGTTTCCACGTTGTTTTCCCCAAGTATTTTGAGATCTGTTTATACAATTACTTTGTTTTGTTTAGGGATTGAACTCATTTCCCACTCCAAAATTTCACATTAAAAATGATCCATAAATCCTTTTTCTATCGTAACATTCTATTGGTACATATATAGTTGGGAGAAAAGTGACATTTTAGTTTTGGGTAAATGCCACATTTAGTCACTGAGATTACTAAATCTTGTCATGTTTAGTCATTAAAAAATTTTAATATCAATTTTGGTCACTCGAATTACTGGTACATGTCACATTTAGTCACTCTCCCGAAACTTTTAGTTTTCATAGGATCTATTCCATTTCTTTTGAAATATTAAATATTAGGAGGATTTTGGATTTTCAACTAAAATTGTGAGACAAATGAGTTGGGATGGAAATATGAGAGGGGCCTTTAAAAGGGGAAACACAAAAGTGAAGGAGTAAGTCTTATAAGGGAGCACGCTTGTTCACAACCCCATTGGGTGCATGGGTTTCATGTGGATTATTTATTTATTTTCTTTTTTGGGTTTGTTTGGTTTAGAAGGAATTATTTTTCGTTAGAGTGGTCAGTATATGTAAAGTGGTAAATCACCACTATAAATTACAAGTGCAACTATACAACTTTCATGTTATAGCTCTATGCAATGTAATGTAAGTTATATATTAAAAAATCTTTAATTATACTAGAATCCTGAGCATATTATAAGTCACCTTCCATTCCCTACTTACTTCGCTACATTCTTCACATTTTGAAAAATTGCCTCTGCCAATTGCTCCATTGTACATCACCAACATGAAGTCTTGAGCAGCTATCTTTCCACAAACAACTAATTATCATGCACCACAGAGACTTCCCGACATGCCCCGTCTAGGATTTGCATCTAGTCCCCTCCACCCATTGCTACCACTCCCATAACATTGGAAAAAATCCCACTGTACACACGTTCTTAATAAAAATTCCCAAAATACATGAGTTATAAAAAAATTTCCCAAAGTACACATGTTTGAGCATCACCGTTTTAGACAAAGGCGGTGAAGGTCATCACCGCGTTTGACGAACACGGTGAATACTTCACCGTTTTAAACTAAAACGGTGATGTATTCACCGTTTCATACTAAAACGGTGATGTATTCACCGTTTCAAACTAAAACGGTGAAGGGTTCACCGCGTTTGTTAAGAACGGTGAACGCCTCACCGTTTTGGTCAAAAACGGTGATCATTTCCCACGTTTCCCACCCCTGGTAGGTCAAAATTAGGTCGCAGCTACCACCTATTCACCGTTTGAGACTAACGCGGTGATGGTGTTCACCGTTTTCGACAAAAACGGTGAATAGTAGGCAGATTTTCCTATAAATAGCACACCAGCAGCAGTTGTAAAAACATAACCACTCCCCTTTCTTCAAATTTCAGCAGCCAAAATCGAGCATAATACACAGAACAGAAATTTTTCGGTATGTTGAGACTTTTCGTATTATAGTCTAATTATGTTTTTAGTAGTTATAGTATGATTTAATTTTCGTATTATGTTGTTGTTAGTTAGTTGAACTTATGTTCGTTAGTTATAGTATGATTTAATTTTCGTATTATGTTGTTGTTAGTTAGTTGAATTTATTTTCGTTAGTTATGGTATGATTTAATATTAGTTGTATAATATGATTTTGGTTAATTTTACTGTCTTTAAGCTAATAGATACTTATTGTAAATTGTAGATATGGGTAAATTCAAGAAGTTTCATCTTACTATTCGGTGGAATGGAAGGGTGACAAACTCTGACATAGGCATTGATTATGAGGACGGCGAATCCATTATGCTGAAAATTGAATCCCGATTCAATTTTCAAGAACTCTGTGATCTTTGTGCAGAAAGGGTTTGTACGAGCGGACAGACGAGACTTGGCAAAATTACTTACCGGTATCCAGACATGAGTGCTGGCGGGGTCGTGTTCCAAGAAGTTGTCATAAACGATGATGACGCGGTTATGATGATGTTACAGTTCCTAAGCGATAACCAAGTCCGGCTTGCAGAGGTGTATGTTGAGACCGAGGCGCTCGGTGAATCTCATTCTCACCAGTATTCTTATGATGATGGTTTTGCAGGAGGGTACGAATGGGGTGGTAGTTCGAGCAACTACCAAGGCGGTGGTTATACAGGAGGTTACGGGGAGGGTGGTGGTTCAATCAACTACGGTGGATCGAGTAGTGCAGGATGGGACCAATACTCGCAACCTCCTAAACCAGCCCCATTTGTTGAGGCCGATGGTGTTCAATGGCCTGCTTGGGGGCCAGAGTGGTATGGAATCGAGAATACCATTCGATCAGGGCGTACTTCACATGAGCGAGAGGACGATGTTGGTGATCGTGGTCATGTTGATCCTTCTAGCCCGAGCTATCCATTCGAGTCGAGCGACGAGGATACTGAGGAAGATTTGATATCAGTGAGCGAGGAGGATACTGAGGAAGATTTGATATCCATTCGTGGTCATGTTGATCCTTCTAGCCCGTAGCGCTCGACTTGTTCTTCCGGTGTCTCGTCATTGATTTCCACCTCTTGCTGGATGTGAGATACCAGCCACGGGACCGACACTTGCCCCGCATTCAACGGTGGATGCCCCCGTCCTTGATTTGGTGTGGTGGTCGGCATGTCGAAGCCCAAACGATCACGGATGAGCGGCCCCCAACCTCCTCCGGGTTTGGTCGTGGAACCAATGATGGCATCTCCAGATATAGGAAGCCCGGTGAGGATCGCCACGTCTTTGAGGGTGATCGTCATTTCCCCCTCCGGAAGGTGGAATGTATGGGTTTCGGGACGCCATCGTTCCGCCATTGCCGTAAGCAGATCGTTGTCGATCTCGATCCGCAAGAAATGGCGCAACATTCCCAAACCGGTCCTCGCTATATAGGGCTCCAACCTTGGAAGCCAAGCGGGCAAGTTATTGGTCCCTTTATGAACCACGGGAACAAGAGATTCCTAAAAAAAATAGGAAAAACATCAATTTATTAGATTAAATAAAGCAAAATAAAACATTAGAAAATAATAAAATAAAGCAAGTCAGTTCATCAAATTACCGGATTGTTATCCCAAATGGCACGGGAGCGATGCATTTCTTGATCGGTTAAGAGACTCGCATCCCTTGGGCCATAATGGATATACAATCGAGGATCGTATATCTCGGCACCCATCTATAAAAAAGTAATGAAATCAGAGATTGTTTTGATAAAAAAAAATCAAATTGTTGCGATTAAAAAAAATCACAAACCAAAAACCTACACGAAGAGCCTCTTCGTCCATTATTGGCGGAAGCCGGACAGAGGTTCGACGGGTTTAGGTTTGTAAGGGACGGGAACTTAGCGGGACGGGGGCTTTAGGGTCAAACTCTAGTAATTCTTTCTGATGTGGAAGATCGGACTTAGCCGCAACCATAGAGCATACTTAGAACGAGACTAGAGCGGATAAATTGAGGGAGAAAGAAGTGAAATGTTTGTGGGGTGAGTTGAAAGTGAAAGGGGAAGGGGGTATTTATAGTTTGGGGGAAGGGGGAGGAGCTGCTGCGCAGTTATTAGGGGAACATTCACCGCGTTTGATGAACGCGGTGAACTCATCGCCCTAACCAAACGCGGTGAATGCAGAGCTGACGTGGCGTGCTATGAGGCGTCGGATCGTGGGAAGAAAACCACGATCCGCGTCTCACCGCATCTAACGGCCACGGTGAAAGCACACTGGCGCGGATCACTGACGCAAACAAACACGGGGTATTCACCGTGTTTGTCTAACGCGGTGAATACCCCGTGCTGTCCACGTCAGCAACTTCACCGTGTCCAACAAAAACGGTGAAGCCTTCACCGTTTTAGTTTAAAACGGTGAAGGCTTCACCGTTTTTGTTTAAGACGGTGAGGTGTTCACCGTTTTTAACAAACGCGGTGAACCCTTCACCGTTTTAGTTTGAAACGGTGAATACATCACCGTTTTAGTTTAAAACGGTGAAGTACTCACCGTGTTCGTCAAACGCGGTGATGACCTTCACCGCTTTTGTCTAACACGGTGATGCTCAAACATGTGTACTTTGGGAATTTTTTTTATAACTTATGTATTTTGGGAATTTTTTTTAAGAACTAGTGTACTTTGGGATTTTTTCCCATAACATTTATATGCACGTCTTGTGAAAATTGGCACTCAAAAGAATAAGTGGTCTCTTGATTCGACGACACCAACTTGCCAAAGCAAGCGTTCCCCAAATTGAGTTTTTTTACTAGAAAGTGTAATCCATTTATATCATGAGAATACAAATGAATCTGGTCGAAGGAAGGTAAAAAGAAAGCTACAAAGCTTCGAAAGCCTCCACTGAAACATACCAAGCCACAACCCACAACCATACATTAAAGCCCACAACCAACCCCAACCTAATAGGCAAAAAAAAAACCTTGCTGAACTTTATACTCTTAATCACCAAGAAGTTGTTGCACAGAAAGGGAGAAGACACCACTCCTTTCATCAGACATCGGCAAGGAAGAAGTCGACATTTCGGGAAACATGAAGGTGGAATATTATAAATGAGGCCTCTTGTGATACATATGAGTTGGAGCTTCCCCAAGCAGCATTATCCAGAGCCAGAGCCAGAGCTACCAAGGAGAGGAACAAACCTTGCAAAGATGTAACAAAAGAGAATCTTTAGCATGTTATTGGTCCACCGAAATACCGTGAACTTTGGGTGAAGGAAGGAGGATGAACATATAGACCTTAAAACCGCTTGCAAACCAAAGAGTAAATTCTTGATTCCCTCAATCGACCAACACAATAACATGGATATGAAATACCAGATCAGAAGCAAAACAATACCATCTCTTCAATAGAGGCATGTGGAAGGATTCCACCTAGAGAATGAGAAAGAGCTATAACAGACAAGGAAAAACCAAGAATGGAGAGAAAAGCTGGGAAAACATAAAGCAATTATTATTATATCATTAAAAGAACAAGTAAGGATTTTACTGTTCCTTAGTGTCAAATCAAGAGGGGATTAAAAATTCATTTTATTATCAAGGGAGTCTTTATTTTTGCTAAGTGTCAAATCAAGTGGGGATTAAAATATTCATTTTATTATTAAGGGAGTCTTTAGTTTTCCTAAGTGTCAAATCAAGGGGATTAAAAAAAAAGGGGTTAAAAAAGGGAGCTTTCAGTTTCTCGAAGCAGAAGAGGGGAAGAAAAAGATGTAAAACAAAATAGAGGGGCATGTTCACGGGATTAAGAAACTAGAGTTCCTTCTCTTTCTATATTTTTCTTTCTCTACTCATCTCTCAGGCTCTCACCAAGACAGAGACTCTCATGCAGATGGAGGGGGAGAAGTTCTCAATAGTGATTGGGTTATTTATCGGTGATTGTGATATTTTCCCTTCTGTTTTGGTCTGCGGCGGGAAGGAGGAAGGTGGTAGACAGGAAATTTGTGGCGGCGGCTCTAGAATCGGCGGTCTTTCTTCCTTCTTCTTTTCTCTAATTTGTGTCTGTGTTTTCTTTGTGGGATTGTGATTGGTTTCTTTGTGGGATTGTGTTCCTTAGTGTCAAATCAAGAGGGGATTAAAAATTCATTTTATTATCAAGGGAGTCTTTATTTTTGCTAAGTGTCAAATCAAGTGGGGATTAAAATATTCATTTTATTATTAAGGGAGTCTTTAGTTTTCCTAAGTGTCAAATCAAGGGGATTAAAAAAAAAGGGTTAAAAAAGGGAGCTTTCAGTTTCTCGAAGCAGAAGAGGGGAAGAAAAAGATGTAAAACAAAATAGAGGGGCATGTTCACGGGATTAAGAAACTAGAGTTCCTTCTCTCTCTATATTTTTCTTTCTCTACTCATCTCTCAAGCTCTCACCAAGACAGAGACTCTCATGCAGATGGAGGGGGAGCAGTTCTCAATAGTGATTGGGTTATTTATCGGTGATTGTGATATTTTCCCTTCTGTTTTGGTCTGCGGCGGGAAGGAGGAAGGTGGTAGACAGGAAATTTGTGGCGGCGGCTCTAGAATCGGCGGTCTTTCTTCCTTCTTCTTTTCTCTAATTTGTGTCTGTGTTTTCTTTGTGGGATTGTGATTGGTTTCTTTGTCGGTGATTGTGATATTTCCTGTTCATTTTTGGTCTGAGGCGGAAGAAAGGAGGCGGAAATCCGGGAATTTGTGGCGGCGGCTTCATAATCGGTGGTCTTTCTTCCTTCTTCTTTGATCTTTGTGTTTTATGGGTAGTTGGTTTGGGGGTTTCTTGATTTCCGATATTTGGCAATATTTTGCATCATGATGTTTTGGCTGTAATTTGTGTGTTGTTTCTATATATATACTCTGGATTTAGTTGTTGGTGTCTTTATTGTCCTCTTTTTTCCTTTTCTTTCTATTTGCTGTTTGAAGTAGGACATGGTTTCTCATACTCTTCTGTTGGATCTTTGTGAGACGGTTGGGTTGCAAACTGTTTTGAAGTTGCGGTTGTTGAATGCGTGGGGTTCATATGGCTTAAAAGTTCCAACACTTATTTTCAATTACTGCACTCTTTGGAATGATGAGGAGGTGTGTGGTTGATGTTTTTATAGTTGTTCTGTATTCTTGGTTTTGCTGGTTATGTTGTTGTATGTAAGTTTTGTGTGCTTAGTTGGTTGTTGTTCTTGCAGGGAACTTTGATTCAAGGGACTGCTCCAGCTAATTTGACTCAACATTTTGCTCCTTTGTTACAGTTGGGCAGGGTGTATGTTGTGAGTGGATTTCGTGTTAGGGCTGCTGGACCAATATATCGTCATTGTTCTCATAAGTTGATGTTGGTCCTCTCATGTGATACTGTTTTTGAGGATGTTACTGGTTCTGAGCCTAATTTCTGGTCAGATGCATTTGAATTTGCGCCGTTTAGTTCTCTGTATTCTCAAGTTCGCTCTTCAGCTTTTCTCACTGGTTTGTAGTGTTTTCGTTGTCTAATTTTTTTCTTTTGGATCTTATTTGTGTTTTGGATGCTTCTTGATATTGTTATTTTTGTCATTTGTTTTTTTAGATGTTGTTGGTGCCGTTGTTAGTGTTACCGGCATTTCATATGCTACTACGTCATTTGGTCAGGATGTTCGTCGAGATTTGGTCATTCAGAATGAAAGGTGGGAAGGGTGGTTAGGGTTCTTCAATATATTCTTTGAGCAAACAGTTTTTATTGTTTTCTGTTTTTTTGTTTTTTTTTCTAATTGTTTTAATCATATGAGGCTCGAGATTGCTCTTTGAGGCGAGGTGGGTCGATCGCTTGATGGTCAAGAATTGGCTGTGCTTGGTCGTGATGGTGTGGTTGTTCTAGCTATTGGTGGTTTGAGAGTTACTGGAGTTGTGAGAGGTACGTTTGTTTTGATGGTTTTTTGTGATCTTTTGATTATTGGAGGGTAATATTAATATGGTTCTTTGGGGGTTTTTTTTTGAAAAGGGGGGTTTGCATTGGCAAGTACGCCTGTTACGAGGTGTCTGTTGAACCCTGTGTCTGAGATGGCAGAAATGATTCGTGCTGCGTAAGTGGTGTTTGCTTGCTTTCCTTTGGTTTCAGTACTTATGTATTCTTATTGGTTGTTATGGTTTTAGGTTTTTTGCTGTGAAAAATACTGTTCAGTATTATCCCCCAAGGTTTGCTATTGCGGCTGAGGCAGCCGCTTTTGAAGCTGATCGTATAAGGACTGTTGCTCAATTGGTATCCATGTGCAGTCCTTCTGTAGTTGATGTAGGTTTTTTGTTTTGTTGTTATTTTTTTTGCAATTTTCCTATATGAACTGTTTTTATATTTATGTGGTCTAATTTTTTTCCCTTTTTTTTGTTTATGTTGTGGTTTATAGAACGCTCGGTATCGTTGTTCTGCTCAGATTATTTCCATTGACTCAAGTAGACAATGGTACTATTTAGGATGCAGTATGTGCTCTAGAGCTGCTAAGGAATATGAGGGCGGCGATTACTGGTGTGATGAGCACTGTCGTATAAGTCCTGAACAAACTCAGAATTGGTAATTAATTATTTGTGTTTATTTTGAGCAAGTTTATCGTTTGTATGGTTGTTTTGATTGTTTGTGTTGGTATTATTGCAGTTATAGGATACGTGTTAATGTTGAGGATAAAACTGGTTGTGTCGTCTTTGTTTTATTAAGTCGAGTAGCCGAGTAGCTTGTGGGAGCTTCAGCTCCAGTAGTCTCAGATCGTTTTCCTTATCAACGAGGGCGGTTGCCACCTGATATTATAGCTCTTGATGGTCGCCGTTTGATCTTTGACGTGCAACTTCCGAAGCCTGAATATATTGGTAGGGGGAAACCTGAGTTTTCAGTGGTTTCTGTACCTGAGGATGACCAGGCTGTTATTGTGCCTTTACGTCCAAATCGTCGTTCTCTTTCTTCATTTGATTTGGCATCATCTTCGAAGCAGTGAGTTTCTATATTGTTATTGATTGGTTTGTTTGGTTTTAAGTTTGTTTATTGTTGTTTTGATTTTTTTTAAGTTGTTGTTCTGGTGGTTTGGTCAGGCTGCATTGTGAAGGAGCACCGACACCTACTTTATATGCAAGGTTTGTTCTTTTGTTGTGTTTTGTTTGCATAATAGTACCATCGGTGTTTGTATGTTATATATTTTTTTTTGTCTTTGTGAATCTGATGACTCGATATTTGCACATGTTTTCCCCTTTGTTTCTTGATCGTTTGAGCTTTAATTATCGCGTCTTTGGCCTACTTTACGCTAGGTTGTGTTCCTTTGTAACATTTCAGGTCCTACCAAATAAAGTGAAGCATAGGCGCAAGTTTCAAGTCAATCGGAGATCATTTTGCAATTCGGGAGAAGAAACACGAGCATGACCTGAAGAAGAATGGATTTCTACCTCACTTTATGGACAAAGAATCATGGAAGTTTGTTATGAAAAGAAAGAGGACGAGACTACGAGCTTCTGGGTTCAAACGGCGACTGATTCGGAGTCCGGACGAGGGAGAAACAAAGCTTTGAACAGGGGTGGAGGAAGAATTACGGGCAGGAGAATTACGACCGTAATTTCCCCTCCCATGCCCGTAATTTCACTGCCGAGAGGAGCTTTGGGTGCGCAGAAACTTAACCAAAACGCGTGTTTTGGGCAAAATACGGGCATGGAAGAATTACGATCGTAATTCAGCCCGTAATTCGCCCAGAATCGGGTTTTTGAGGTAGATTAGAGCCAAAGGAAAGGGAGAGCTGGGTTTTGGATCCCAAACACCCAAGGGACGAACCCTAGAGAGAGAGAGCGACTTGGGAACATTTTTGGAGCTATTTTGGAGGATTTCTTCGCCATTGGAGCTTGGGAATCAAGCTTGGAGATGGAGATTGAAGATCTAGATCAGATTTCTGCAGTCTCTCTCTTCTCTATGGAGTAACTTCCCTTCACTTAGGTTTGGAGGAACCCTAGTTCCATGAGTTAGGATCTTTCTTGTATGAAGTTTTGAATGTTATATTGTTTGATTATAATCGAATGATGCATGTTTATTGAGTCAATTGAAGTCTGATAAACTTTTCCTGATTTCTACTGCAACCTGAGATAGATAGAATCTGATTAGGTTGTTAGAGCCTCATCATTCGGTAGTAGGAGATTGGCTATACGAGAGTTAGCCAGTTTACTGCTTTGTACTGGAATCCAATTCCAGTAGTGGAGTTCTGTGCTTATTGCTTCAACTTTCTATCCCGGTGAAGACTAGTCGTCTGCCGGATAGTTAGACTGAGAGGGCTTGGTCGGCTTAAGAGATTCCAAGCTACTGTCGGATCTTCCGCAGTTTAATCAACAGTAAAACAACCAAAAGGAATTACAACTTGGACCTAATTGAGGAGCTAGGGGGAATCATACCTAAGTGAGTTCATGCTCGAGACACTGAGAGATCATGCTCCAAGATGGATCTTCAAATCAAAGCCCTTGATGCTTCCGATCCCTCATTTCTCCATGATATGGAGGAGACTGTTCAGCGCTCAGCGAAGCAAACAGAGTGGGTGGAGCAAGTTTGCTCACATCTTGCTCAAGATCACCTTTCTACTACCACGCTAGAAGAGGTGGAGGATGACAAAGGCTATGGGGATGTTGAGGAGCATACAGAAGTTATCACAGAGAACTCCCATGATAATCATGATCAGGAAAGTCCTCTGGTTGCATATCACACAATTCCTTATTTCTGCTCTAACATGCTGGGCCCGAGCGAGGAGATGCAAGATGATCTCATTGAAGAAATTACATGGCGACTTGCTCTCCAATCTGTGCTAGAAGAAGAAGAGCAAGAAAGGATGCAGAAAGAAGTTGTGGAGGATGACGAAAGTGAAGCAGGAGAAGTTCTTGATCATTTCCCAGGGGTGATACCACATGAAGAAGAAAGGGGGGGGGGGGGGGGGTTGAAGAAGCAATTGGCGTCCAGGCTGAGAACGGAGTTAAGGTGGAAGAGGCCTGCACCGGCCATGAGTTGCAAGTGATATCCCCACCAAACTTTGAGGAACTTCTTAGCAAGGACCCATTTGCAGTGTCTCTTTGCCAGACCAAGGCCACATCAACATCGGTCCCTCTTGGTGGACGCGATGGTGGCCAATCGATGCTGTCATATCTGGTTTGGGGCAATGAGACGAGAGAAGAGAAGAAGAGGTCTCGAGGGCGGAGACTTCATCTGCATCAAGTACATGAGCCTTCATCACCTGCCACACCACATGCTCGTGACTTGAGACTCCACCTCATCGACGAGAACCTCAACTTCAAGGAGGTTCTAGCATGGACCGAAACTTAGGAGCCATCGTCCGGCTCCCGACGTGAAAGAAGCGCTTGTTGGGAGGCAACCCAACCAGTCGGTTTGCATTTCTTTCTCTATTTCTCCTCGGTTGAGTCAGTTTTGTTATTTGATTTTAGAGTCAATAACTCAACCTTTGTGAGATTTTGTGTGGTGTTTGTGGTCTGACCACTCTCTCCTCCTGGAATACACCGCCTGCCCCGTCCACCATCATTCACCCGGGATCTGGTAACTTCGTTCTACCACCTTATCTTTCCTCCATTGAGCACAATGTCGTGCTTAAGTGTGGGGGGGATGTTCGATTATGTATGCGGGTGAATGTTTGGCTGTTTGTGTGCTTGGAGCCTAGTCCACTGTCCAAATTTTTAAATTTGAGGGCTTCCAAGTACGTTTTTCCTTGCAAATTGCCTGCTCAGTATGCTTTGAATTGACAGTCTCTATATTAATGTGCAACCTAGGGAGGTAGTGTAGCACTATGGAGGATGTTGAAGTATAAGATTTTTTCTATCTAGCTCTCTGCTGTGCCAGTTGATTTTGTGAATTAGTGGAGCTAAGACCGTTGAATTCATGTGGTAATGGTGACTCTGTTTGGATTGTGTTATGGACTCGTGTATCGAACAGGGTGCTCATGTGAAAAATGAAAAGCAGTTGGTCCTCCATGTCAAAATCATAAAATCTTAAACATGGGGTAAGCCCAACGTGTGCGGCACCGTTCATTGCACCAAATCGGGTTTTGGAAGAGATTTTAGTGATCCTTAGTGGGGTACTCCTACAAGGTGAAGCTAAGCTGTCTCTAGTACAAGTTAAACTTCCACCCGTTGAACGGTTTGCCTACTTGAGGATGTGTTTTTAAGGGCACGGATAGAGCTTCCGACCCCCTTAATTTCATTGACCCTCCACACGAGTTGAGGAAAAGGAGTTAAAAGAAGTACTCTGGCGAGCGCCAGGTGTACAAAAATTGCTCTTGCTCGACTAATAAGGGTCGACCGTGCAAAAGACTGCAGTTGGAACCCCCTCCAAGTGAATAAAAAGGGGGAAAAAGTAAGTAAAATGAAAGTGAAAAAGGGGTTCCAACGGTGAAATGAAGTGAAAGAGAACCCCGGTACAACGAGTCCTTGGTTGTGAATGGTGTGAGTCCCTTTATTCATGAACTGACTGTCTTACTTCTACTTCTTCTCATGATCCTGGCTTGAGTCTAGTACTCGCATTGAGAGAGATAGGGAACGTCTTAGAAGACCAGTTGACCTCGTAAGCTGCTATATGATCTAAGAAATCCTCTACCGAGGATCAGGGTTGTTTGTTGCTATATAGGTCTGGAGAGTTGCATTGGTTTGAGTCAGGTTTGCTTGGGGACAAGCAAACAGTTAAGTGTGGGGGGATTTGATGACTCGATATTTGCACATGTTTTCCCCTTTGTTTCTTGATCGTTTGAGCTTTAATTATCGCGTCTTTGGCCTATTTTACGCTAGGTTGTGTTCCTTTGTAACATTTCAGGTCCTACCAAATAAAGTGAAGCATAGGCGCAAGTTTCAAGTCAATCGGAGATCATTTTGCAATTCGGGAGAAGAAACACGAGCATGACCTGAAGAAGAATGGATTTCTACCTCACTTTATGGACAAAGAATCATAGAAGTTTGTTATGAAAAGAAAGAGGACGAGACTACGAGCGTCTGGGTTCAAACGGCGACTGATTCGGAGTCCGGACGAGGGAGAAACGAAGCTTTGAACAGGGGTGGAGGAAGAATTACGGGCAGGAGAATTACGACCGTAATTTTCCCTCCCATGCCCGTAATTTCACTGCCGAGAGGAGCTTTGGGTGCGCTGAAACTTAACCAAAACGCGTGTTTTGGGCAAAATACGGGCATGGAAGAATTACGACCGTAATTCAGCCCGTAATTCGCCCAGAATCGGGTTTTTGAGGCAGATTAGAGCCAAAGGAAAGGGAGAGCTGGGTTTTGGATCCCAAACACCCAAGGGACGAACCCTAGAGAGAGAGAGAGCGAATTGGGAACATTTTTGGAGCTATTTTGGAGGATTTCTTCGCCATTGGAGCTCGGGAATCAAGCTTGGAGATGGAGATTGAAGATCTAGATCAGATTTCTGCAGTCTCTCTCTTCTCTATGGAGTAACTTCCCTTCACTTAGGTTTTGAGGAACCCTAGTTCCATGAGTTAGGATCTTTCTTGTATGAAGTTTTGAATGTTATATTGTTTGATTATAATCGAATGATGCATGTTTATTGAGTCAATTGAAGTCTGATCAACTTTTTCTGATTTCTACTGCAACCTAAGATAGATAGAATCTGATTAGGTTGTTAGAGCCTCATCATTCGGTAGTAGGAGATTGGCTATACGAGAGTTAGCCAGTTTACTGCTTTGTACTGGAATCCAATTCCAGT